ACAAGCAGTTTCAAGAAATTATTACTTGGCAGTAAGCATTTTCAAGTAACGGTTACAATAAAGTAAGCAGTTTGAATTATCCTAACCGTTGGTACTGGAAAGCATACCACTTGAATGAATGAATTTCTACCCCACCAGGACGTCACACAAGCGATAAACACCCGATGACACAAAGTGCCACCATGTGGGTGAGGATCACCGTGGAGAGGTCCCAGAAACCGCGTTCAGACAATTGGCCATATTTATGGCCTGCCTATATTGCGGCCCCTGGCAAAAGCCAGAGTGGGGCTTTAAATAACAAAGAATCACGTCCTAAAAAGGACGTAAGTATGATTAAACATACCACTTTGATTGTCTATTACTATAGTTAACTCTGATTGTACAGCAGATCGTTCCGGTTGATTGTGACTAGACACCAGTTCATTTCAAGAGTACACAGTTCAGACTAGAATTACACAGCTAGACTTACTGTATGATGATGATGGCTGGGCATCAATGTTTGTTTTCCTAGTCGTGTCAGTGTCACAATGGTTGTGTGTTATTGTCATGACGCCAGCGAATGTTGTTATCCCTACTGCCGGGTTGTCGCCCTTGGCTCATCCTGTAGGTTTCAACACGGCCGTCTCCGAGGGGACCCAGCCTCATACAGGGGCCATAACTAGGACCCGGTATAGACTTGGTCAGGCCCTAAGATACATAAAGCCCCGAGGCCCCTACCGTGTTAAATTGCACCGGATAATCGCTGAAAACACCACGCCTATTAAATATCTTCATAATGGAAATGTACTGTCATTTTATTTTTCATTATAAGAAATAAAAAAGAATATGTTTGCAGAATCACATAAGTTATATAATCGTCTAAAAATTACAATATATTGAAAGAAAATTGCATTTTGGAAAATAAATACGACTTCTTTTAAAGGCCATTACAGATTATGAGACCCTTAGCTGTAGCTTATTTAGCTTATATCTAAATCCAGCACTGGCCTCATCCGACTGTTTCTCTAGACAAGGGGAAGTTTGCGTGATGAAGACAGTGCCAGCCCGTCTGTACTGTGTGGTCAAAGCTGTGACTGGCAACACATTTTCAGTATATCATTATGGCGTTTTGTCAAAGAGGCAACTTCAGATCCGCTGTAGTTTAAAGCCTGCCCTGGTTGCGAAGACGCCGGCACATTTGATCCGGTTGCTTATCGCATACATTAAATCTGACCAGTCATTTAGGAGGGAGGGGGAGGGGAGAAAGCAGGCGAAAATGGGGGGGGGGGATGTTGATAAGCTGAGGATTTGTTGCTGCTTCTCCCTTACAGTTATCTACTGTATCATTCTAGCAGACGTAGCTGAACTGTTGTCGTGTGCAGACAGGCGCGCTCCACAGATGACGAGTCAGATAGGTTGTAGCTGCTGCCGGCGAGTCCTGTGTCTGGCCTGGTAGGAGAGGCTTTCTTGTCATCTGTTTTGTATCCTTCTTGGGCTAAGAGAGTGAAGGAACGGGAGGGATTTTTTTTCTACATTTGAAGAGTGGGTGCTTCTACAAGTTTGGGGATTTGTTTGTTTCTACAGTTTCTTGTGTGTGTGTGTGGGTGATTTACTTCTCCTACTCGAGTGGATTTAGCTTTTCTATAGACTGAGAGAAAACTGTCTTCTACTTATGAAGAATGGTTGCTCTTACTGTTGGTTAATTTCTTCCACTCTTTGTTGATTGCAGTAGAGCAGCTAGGGAAACTCTGGCATTTAATAGATAGTAAAATTATCATACCTACACCGAAGTGGTAGTGTAATCCTACTTTGACAGGCAGGTAGATGTGTGGTGGTGGTGGTGGGGGGGGGGGGCGGGTACAGAGTTGGAATACACGAGGTGCCGTGCATGTTTGTTTTATGCATCTGCATGTCTTGTAACTCTGTTGCCAGTTGTCAGTTATACATGTCACACAGTGATGCTGACAGATGTCAGTCATACATGTCACACAGTGATGCCGACAGATGTCAGTCATACATGTCACACAGTGATGCTGACAGATGTCAGTCATACATGTCACACGATGATGCCGACAGATGTCAGTCATACATGTCACACAGTGATGCTGACAGATGTTAGTCATACATGTCACACAGTGATGCCGACAGATGTCAGTCATACATGTCACACAATGATGCCGACAGATGTCAGTCATACATGTCACACAGTGATGCCGACAGATGTCAGTCATACATGTCACACAGTGATGTCGACAGATGTCAGTCATACATGTCACACAGTGATGCCGACAGATGTCAGTCATACATGTCACACAATGATACCGACAGATGTCGGTCATACATGTCACACAATGATGCCGACAGATGTCAGTCATACATGTCACACAGTGATGCCGACAGATGTCAGTCATACATGTCACACAGTGATGCCGACAGATGTCAATCATACATGTCACACAGTGATGCCGACAGATGTCAGTCATACATGTCACACAGTGATGCCGACAGATGTCAGTCATACATGTCACAGTGATGCTGACAGATGTCAGTCATACATGTCACACAGTGATGCTGACAGATGTCAGTCATACATGTCACACAGTGATGCCGACAGATGTCAGTCATACATGTCACACAGTGATGCTGACAGATGTCAGTCATACATGTCACACACTGCTGACTGTTGTCAGTCACATGTGACACACACTGCTGAATGTTGTCAGTCACATGTCACACACTGCTGACCGTTGTCTGTCACATGTGTCACACACTGCTGACTGTTATATATGTCACACAATACTGACAGATGTCAGTCATACATGTCACACAGTGCTGACACTTGTTAGTCCTACATGTCACACAGTGATGCCACTAGTCACTCATACATATCACACAGTGATACCACTAGTCACTCATGCATGTCACACAGTGATATCACTAGTCACTCATACATGTCACACAATGCTGACACTTGTCAGTCATACATATCACATAGTTATGACACCTGTCAGTCATACATGTCAAATGAAGCTGACAGCTGTCAGTCATTCATGTCACATCACATGCTGTTGACAGTTGCCAGTCGTACATCACACATGTCATTCACATTATATCTCACAGACATGTACATTAACTGTGAAATTCAAGCCACTTATAGCTGCCATTTTGAATGTCAGGAGTACTTCGCATGCACACATTTTATGTCACATTTTTCATTTTTTTTTGGGTGGCACACTTTTCTTTTGTTTTATGTAATGTGGCACCATTATCTGTGATTATATTAATGGCACCATTTTTTATGAGTATATTGTTGCACACTTTTCTATAAGTACTGTGTGGCACTATTTTTCTATGAGTACAGTGGCAACATTTTTTCTGTGGATACAACATGGCACAATGTTTCCATGACTCCGGTATAACACAGTTTTTACTTCAGTACAACATGGCACAATATTTCCATGAGAACAGCATGGCATAATTTTTCTGTTAGCTCATCATGTCACAGTGTTTCCATGAGTACAGTGTGGCACCATCTTTCTATGAGGACAACATGGCACAGTGTCTCCTTGAGTACAATGTGGCACCATTTTTCTACAACAACAGCATGGAACCATTTTTCATTCAGTACAGTATGGCACCATTTTGCTAAATTGAGATAACATAGTGGCACAGTTTTCTGATGGTTACATTATGGCAGCATTTTCTTAGAGTTATGGCAGCATTTTCTTAGAGTTACATTATGGCAGCATTTTCTTAGAGTTATGGCAGCATTTTCTTAGAGTTACATTATGGCAGCATTTTCTTAGAGTTACATTATGGCAGCATTTTCTTACAGTTATGGCAGCATTTTCTTAGAGTTACATTATGGCAGCATTTTCTTAGAGTTACATTATGGCCGCATTTTCTTAGAGTTACATTATGGCAGCATTTTCTTAGAGTTACATTATGGCAGCATTTTTTTAGAGTTACATTATGGCAGCATTTTCTTAGAGTTACATTATGGCAGCATTTTCTTAGAGTTACATTATGGCACCATTTTCTTAGAGTTACATTATGGCACCATTTTCTTAGAGTTATGGCACCATTTTTTTAGAGTTACATTATGGCACCATTTTCTTAGAGTTACATTATGGCACCATTTTCTTAGAGTTACATTATGGCAGCATTTTTTTAGAGTTACATTATGGCAGCATTTTCTTAGAGTTACATTATGGCAGCATTTTCATATGCTTACTTTGGACATCAGTTGTTTGTGTTTGTACTTGAGTTTAAAACATTTTGTTTTGACATGGTCCATATGCTTTCATGAATCAGTTAACACTGTACTTGTGTGATAAGCTGATTTTGTGTTTGCTTGCTTTATGTTAGTTTCAGCCAAATGGATAATTTACTGGCCTAGCAACACACTGCAAGGTTTAATCCCCTTTTGATGAGCAATTGTCCTCACCAGCTCACGTACAGACACCAGATACATAAATGACTGGCTTATTAATTAATCTTCTGGGGCATTGCCTGTTGGTAGTTCTAAACTTTGTTCAAAATATCAGATGTTTGCAAATGAATCCTTCCCAATCTTGTAGCGCATTCATTGCTGTAATAGTCTGCATTAGTTTGGTTACACATCCACAGAAATTGATTAAAATGTTGATTAACTAACACCATTCATTATACATCCAGAAATGTTGATAGTAAAATTGATCGCCTGACAGTGTTATACATTCACAAAAGTTGATTGTAATATTGATTGACTGACAGTGTTATACATTCACAAAAGTTGATTGTAATATTGATTGAATAACAGCCTTATAAATCCCAAAAAGTTGATAGTAATATTGATTGGCCGACAGTGTTATACATCTACAGAAGTGAATCATGATGTTGACTGACCGACACTGTCAGACACTGACAGAGACTGACTCCTCTACATTTGATTGGCTGCCTCATGTGCTGGGTTATACATCCACAAACGTTGACTTCCTTGTTGACCAAATTTAAGTTTTATTGACTACTGTTTTCACCAGGCTTGCTTCGAGGGTCAGTGATTGGTCCAGCCAGAGATGTGGTTCACCAGCTGGATGCCAACAGTGTCACAGCAGCAGCACTAAGGAAGAAACGCAAGTCCACCTTGTCGACCTTTGCCCCGGTCATGGAGGAGGACAAAGACATTGACCCCGAAAAGGTCAGTTATTGTTAGTTTCATCATGACCTTGTGGTGTGCTCATAAACATAGGCTTCTGTGGTCTGGCTGTCATTTGGCAAAGCTATCCACTCAAAAATCTGCTTGTTTTCTGTCTATCCCAGGGGGCTTTGTAGAAATTGTTCACCCCAGCCTGATGTGGGTATCAGGAAAGGTTGTGAGAAATCAAAGCAGCAGGAATAATATTTTCTGAGTCGCTCATCAAGTGTCAGTGGTCTGTAATAATGTGGAACCAGCACCATATACCTGCTATGCCTCTGGGTGAATGAAAGGGTCATTTAGAAGTAAAGGACGCTTGTCCACACCCTCAGGCATATTGGGTGTCTTCTTCTTCTTCTTCTGCTGCTGCTGCTGCTGCTGCTGCTGCTGCTGCTGCTGCTGCTGCTGCTTCTTCTTCTTCTTCTTCTTCTTCTTCTTCTTCTGCTTCTTCTGCTTCTTCTTCTGCTTCTGCTTCTTCTTCTGCTTCTTCTGCTTCTTCTTCTTCTTCTTCTTCTTCTTCTTCTTCTTCTTCTTCTTCTTCTTCTTCTTCTTCTTCTTCTTCTTCTTCTTCTTCTTCTTCTTCTTCTTCTTCTTCTTCTTCTTCTTCTTCTTCTTCTTCTTCTTCTTCTTCTTCTCTTTCATCTTCTTCTTCTTCTTCTTCTTCTTCTTCTTCTTGTTTACATTCACTGGCTGTAGACTCCAGTAGAAGAGAGAGAGAGAGAGAGAGAGAGAGAGGGAGGGAGGGAGGGAGGGAGGGAGAGAGAGAGAGAGAGAGAGAGAGAGAGAGAGAGAGAGAGTGAGAGAGTGAGAGTGAGAGTGAGAGAGAGAGAGAGAGAGAGAGAGAGAGAGAGAGAGAGAGAGACGGACGCAGGCTGACCAGATTCATGTTGTTGCAGCTGATGGGGGAGAGAGGGGTCCACCAGATGTCCACTGGCAAGAAATCTGATGACAATGTCTTTGATGATGATAGTGAGGACTGGGCACAGGTGAGCACTGACCATCATCTTCCTCACAGGCACAATCTTCGGCATCAGGGCTGTCAGTCATCATCAACAGTAGCTGCGGCAGTAGCAACATTCTCATCCTCATTATTGCATTCCCCACATAACATCAGCAACAGTACAGACATCGTCGTCAACAACAACTGCAGTACCAATGTTCTTTCTCATCATCGTTATCATCTTTCCTACACTAAACAAGCAACAATACACACATCAGCATCAGCGGCAGCAGCTGTACCAACAATATCATCATCATCATCATTACCACTACTATATTAGCAACAATACTGACATCATCATCATCATCAACAGCAGCAGCAGAAGTACCATATTCTCATCATCATTTTTTTCACTACTGTGTTAGCAACAATACAGAGATTATCATCATTATGGTAACCAGTACAACTGACTAGAATAGCAAAACAGCACCTATTGAAACAGATACAAACAATGTATATCACCTATATAATCTGGTATTACTGAAGACAGACAGTGTCATTTCCATCTTTTACTACTTTGTGCTTCCTTTTTTCCTTCTTGTTTGCCCATCTGTTTTCCTTCTTGTCTTTCTTCATTCCTTGCCACCTTTCTTAGTGCATTTTTTCCCCCTTCCTTCCTTCCATCTCCAAGAAGCTGGAAATGTGATTGTGCGTTTGACCCTATTATTCAGCTGTTTCAGCTGCTGTAACTACTATTTCATGATTGTGTTGGATGGCTTCTTTCATGATTGTATTGGATGGCCTCTTTCATGATTGTATTGGATGGCCTCTTTCATACTGGACTGATTGATCCTGTACTATATTAGAACAGCACACAAGCAGTCTGACACAGAAAAAACTCTCACTTAAACCCAGCTGGGTCTGTCAACCCTGTGTGCACGTGTAGTCTTAGAGTAGTTGTACAGTGAGTGAGTGAATGAATGAATCAGGAACTGACATCACTGCAGTCTGGACATTTCCATACCTGCTCTGACCCCTGCCTCAGTAGCTAATCAAGAGTTCCCATACTGATGATGTCAGTTTCAACCTTATCACAAGTTTGCCACTCTTTCCCCTGTGTGCAGAAAATTGTCAAGACCCACTGGCTGACTCCCAGCTGAAGCATTCTCTTTAGCTTGCGATGCTGTGTCTGTTATGTTGCACTGTTTACTTTGTCTCAGAGAGCCTACACCATGTCTGCTTGATCATAAAATAGCTCACTGCCCAGAGGAGCAGCAGCAACCAAACTGTCCATCTGCTCATTACCACATACACTTGAATATTCATGAAAAATCTACGATATGTGTCTTATGTGATGGAAGTCATCCTTTAAATTCTTTAATTTTCCGAAGCACCCTCCACAGGTCAGAACTTCAGCAGCAGATCAGACTATCCACCTACTGTGAGACATTTAGTATAGGTTTATGAGATAACAAATTACCTACTGTCTTACCTCTGTGAGACATTTTGAGTAGGTTTATGAGATAACACATTACCTACTGTCTTACCTCTGTGAGACATTTAGAGTAGGTTTATGAGAATCAAAATTACCTACTGTCTTATCTCTCTGAGATATTTAGAGTAGGTTTATTAGAGACCAAATTACCACCTATCCTATCTCTGTGAGACATTTAGAGTAGCTATCAGAGACCAAATTACCCACTGTCCTATCTTTCTGAAATATTTAGGGTAGGGTTATGGGAGACAAAATTACTCTCTTTCCTATCTCTGTGAGACATTAAGAGGAGTTTTATCAGAGGTAAATTGTTCCCACCTTTCTTTAGATTGCAGAAATCATCTCCAGTTATGGGGGTAGAATCAGCTCGTCCGGGGACTATGCGCTATTTGAGGCGCAGATAGACCACATGTTGTCAGCCAAAGGTACACGTACGGGTGACTCCACTTTTATCACATCCTGCATCGTGCTTGTTAATTATGCCTCAACTAGATGAAATATCCCCGAATGCTAAATTGTCTGTGGTGTTAACGTCATGTGTCTTGTACTAACATACATAGAAATGAATGTAAACACCAAGCAGCTCACACTCACGTACTCAGAGCTACAAACAGAAACAGGCTAGTGCATTCACATATGCATGCTGATATATTTATGTTCCAACAATATCTGTGGGATAAGTTGTCACTTGATTGTTGAAGCTTGTACTGTAACATTGTTTCTGTTAGACAATGTGTAGTCCTTTTCACTTTGAAGGTGGTAAAGAAGTAAATAGCATGTTAGTAACATTTCCATGAAATTGTTACAGGACACACATTAGTGACCATGACCTTTCACCCCTTTCTATCATGTGAAATTTTAATAACAGTGAATACTCATTCCCTCTGTGTATGCTGCTCAGCTGTTTCAGCTTTCCACAATCATCCATTTCTTTATTATTCTGCAACTTCTTTGTAGTCCCCCCCCCCCCTCACCCCTCTCCAGTAAAGTTAATTTTTATAATCTGATATTTTTACTTAATAAATTTATTGTATCTTTTCTAAAGGATTTTGATGAGTCATCTAATAATGTACACTTGCAAATACCCATCTGTTCTTCTCTGTGTGCAGTATTATCAACATTTTGCTCAAACACCATATCTTCTCACTATCCAACCTCATGTGATGACTCACGGACTAGCATAACTAGATGACACACGTAAGAGCAGATCTAGCAGAAGTTTGATTATGAAAGGGAAACATGATGAAATAGCCACAGACATTAAAACCAAGTTGAGGTCTGCATGTTTGCATCATGGAGGGCAGAAAGTACTGACTAGCATATGTGTGTATCAGTTTGTTTTCTTTGAATTGATTGCATGGCTTGCATCTTGGAAGATTGATTTGATGGCATGTTTTCCTGTAGATCAGTGCAACGTTTGAGACTTTCGGAGTGGGCCTGTCCAGGGAATCAGTGTTCATGCGCGAGCATGAGGCTAATTTTGCCAGATTTCTTGCCCAGGGTAAACCAGGTACTGCATGTGCAACAATTGCTTGTATTGTTTCTTTGTGTTCTTCTACTTCTTCTTCTTCTCCCTCCCCCTTCCCCCTGGAGTTCACCCTAAAAGAGTTGGTTGGCACCTTGTGTTTACAGTGGGGCTGCAATATTTGCATGCGCTGTAATATCTGCATGTTCCAGCCCACCACATATGATTCAGACAGACTCCTAGTTAGTTAGCTTTTACAACATGCTTGTTAATGGGCTGTGGTCTCTCCCCATGCCCCCCCCCCCTTTTCCCCCAGCATGGGGATATTTATGTGGTAGCTAAGAATATTTAACTTTCAGGGACAGCCCTGTCGGATGGATTTCATGAAGATGCAGTCTTGCTGCAAGTGAAATGTTGATGAAATATTTTGAAGCTGAATTAAATATGAGATGCATCTGTAAACTAGATGAAATATGTTGAAGCTTAATTAAATATGAGATGCATCTGTAAACTAGATGAAATATGTTGAAGCTTAATTAAATATGTGATGCATCTGTAAACTAGATGAAATATTTTGATACCTCTGGAAAAAAAGATGAAGTATTTATGAATTATTCTAAAATAAAAAAAAATAATATTAAATGTTAAATACGAATGTGAGCGTGCATATGTTCTGTGACAACATACGAATGTGAGCAAGCATATGTTCTGTGACAACATACAAATGTGAGCTTGCATATGTTCTGTGACAACATACGAATGTGAGCATGCATATGTTCTGTGACAACATACGAATGTGAGCATGCATACGTTCTGTGACAACATACGAATGTGAGCATGCATATGTTCTGTGACAACATACAAATGTGAGCATGCATATGTTCTGTGACAACATACAAATGTGAGCATGCATATGTTCTGTGACAACATACAAATGTGAGCAAGCATATGTTCTGTGACAACATACAAATGTGAGCATGCATATGTTCTGTGACAACATACGAATGTGAGCAAGCATATGTTCTGTGACAACATATGAATGTGAGCATGCATATGTTCTGTGACAACATACGAATGTGAGCGTGCATATGTTCTGTGACAACATACGAATGTGAGCAAGCGTATGTTCTGTGACAACATACGAATGTGAGCTTGCATATGTTCTGTGACAACATACAAATGTGAGCGTGCATATGATCTGTGACAACATACGAATGTGAGCATGCATATGTTCTGTGACAACATACGAATGTGAGCAAGCATATGTTCTGTGACAACATACGAATGTGAGCATGCATATGTTCTGTGACAACATACGAATGTGAGCGTGCATATGTTCTGTGACAACATACAAATGTGAGCATGCATATGTTCTGTGACAACATACGAATGTGAGCATGCATATGTTCTGTGACAACATACGAATGTGAGCGTGCATATGTTCTGTGACAACATACGAATGTGAGCTTGCATATGTTCTGTGACAACATACGAATGTGAGCAAGCATATGTTCTGTGACAACATACGAATGTGAGCATGTATATGTTCTGTGACAACATACGAATGTGAGCATGCATATGTTCTGTGACAACATACGAATGTGAGCAAGCATATGTTCTGTGACAACATACGAATGTGAGCAAGCATATGTTCTGTGACAACATACGAATGTGAGCGTGCATATGTTCTGTGACAACATACGAATGTGAGCGTGCATATGTTCTGTGACAACATACGAATGTGAGCAAGCATATGTTCTGTGACAACATACGAATGTGAGCATGCATACGTTCTGTGACAACATACGAATGTGAGCTTTGAAGAGTCTTGCAGTCCCTGAAGAAAGACATTAGAAATTCTGAAATTAATGTTGCATTAAATTCTAAGATTACAGTGGATTTAAAAATATAAAATTAAAAAAAACTAATGACATTCAGATTATATGAACATTGAAGAAACTACATAAACAACATCCTATCTTGGAGACTGAAACAGTTGGGCCATATTAAATGCCACAGTGATTTTTAACAAACAATAATGGCAAGGCATGGTTCTTGGAAGAAGAGGCAGGGGTTGACCAAGCTGAAGTGAACACAAAATATTGGGGACACTGCCTTGAGAATGACAGTACTGAAGGCTAGGGAAATTACCAGGGACAAAAATGATTCACAAGTGTCATCATGGGAGCAGCATTCTGCAAAGGGTTTGCTGCTTGAAGTCTGAGATCAAATATTCTAGGCCACTCCATGTCTTCAACTTCTTTACTTCCCAGAAAAGTCCTAACATTGTCTGGTACCCACTTTATGAAACTGAGTTAAACCACCAAAACCATATTTTCAGAAGAAACAGCCCTGTCACTACAGGAGTTTAAACCTAAACCACTGTCTGTAGGGACAAGTGCACTAACTACTATACTACCACTGCTGCATCTGGAATGTTCTTTCTGAACAAGAAATGAGATTTCTGGGAATATATTATATATCTGTACAAATATATTGATTCTCTAGTTCTTGATTTTTCTTGTCCCGACCCAAACTCATAAATTAGTACTACAGATTGTTTGAAGAGGGGAGGGTGGATGTCAGGATACTTATGGCACAAGCCATAAAGTGCTCTTGGGTCATAAAAATACAGGCAGCTTAGCGTCACTTCTCTGGCTTGCACTGTTGGCATGGAAACTATAAATGATAAATGTTTGTCTTAGTCAGGAAGTAGATGAGTTCTGTTGGTCTCTTTATGTAGTTTTTTTGTATATTTGTTGTAATTCCTCAGAAAGATAAGTTTAAAGTTCAGTATATTTGCATGAAGGCATGAAAAAGGCTTTGATGTACTGGAATGGGATTAGTCTAACGATATATTCTCCATTCAGGTATCAAATTGCAAACTGTGTAGGGACTGTGTTGCAGAGCTTTCTTTCTTCTTTCCAACCTGAGAAACTAGTGAGGCGGCCATGTGAGCTTGGAACTGGAAGTTTGGTGCATTTGTGAAGGATTAACCAGTTCATGGTTCAGTACTTTGAAGTTGGAGTTCATCTGCCTGATAGAACATGAAACGACAGACTTCACTGATCTGTGAAATGGAACATACACGCATAACTCAAGTCCTGGAACAAGGTCAACGGGGAGAAATGGATGAACACCCAGGATTTTCCCCTGAAGTTTACAGCCAGTGAACATAAACAAACAACAAAGCACAGCCCATGCTGGCTGGTTGGGATTATGTATAGACTAGTGATGGTTCCTCCACAGTGTTTAGAGATGTCATTGCTAGCAGACGCCAGCAACATGCCTTGGGCAAACTTGATTGAAATAGATATCATCATAGGAGAGTAATGGGTAGTTTTGACACCAGTGGTGTGTCTGGCTTATGTCAGAGTTTATAGACTGATTAGTGCTCCGTGGGTTATAGACTGATTAGCGCTCCGTGGGTTATAGACTGATTAGTGCTCCGTGGGTGCTTTGGTCAACATTATGCCAGCTGCCTTTACTTCCCAGGAAATAACCTGGTTCACATTTTAGGCTGGGTTGACCTGAAAGGCATGGTCCAGTTTGATAAAATCTCTATCTGGAAGCGGATTCAGACCCAAGACATTCGGGCTGGCAGGCGAGCATCTAACCACTGTGTTAATTGGCTGCAGATGGCATAATATTTACTACTGTAATTGAAAAGATAAACTTGTCTTTGATATGATTAAATACTTTTGCTGAAACTATAGTCGACACTGCAGTTAAAGTCTCAAATGCACAAGAAAGAAGCAGAGTACTCATTTTTTAGGTAATGGAAATCCCAGGTCTGCAGGCTGCCTACTGCTCACTTTCAGTCAGATGTTCAGTATATGAGAGTAAGGTTACACTTCCAGTGAGATGTTCAGTATATGAGAGTAAGGTTACACTTCCAGTCAGATGTTCAGTATATGAGAGTAAGGTTACACTTCCAGTGAGATGTTCAGTATATGAGAGTAAGGTTACACTTCCAGTGAGATGTTCAGTATATGAGAGTAAGGTTACACTTCCAGTGAGATGTTCAGTATATGAGAGTAAGGTTACACTTCCAGTCAGATGTTCAGTATATGAGAGTAAGGTTACACTTCCAGTCAGATGTTCAGTATATGAGAGTAAAGTTACACTTCCAGTGAGATGTTCAGTGTATGAGAGTAAGGTTACACTTCCAGTGAGATGTTCAGTATATGAGAGTAAGGTTACACTTCCAGTGAGATGTTCAGTGTATGAGAGTAAGGTTACACTTCCAGTGAGATGTTCAGTATATGAGAGTAAAGTTACACTTCCAGTGAGATGTTCAGTATATGAGAGTAAGGTTACACTTCCAGTCAGATGTTCAGTATATGAGAGTAAGGTTACACTTCCAGTCAGATGTTCCGTATATGAGAGTAAGGTTACACTTCCAGTGAGATGTTCAGTATATGAGAGTAAGGTTACACTTCCAGTGAGATGTTCAGTATATGAGAGTAAAGTTACACTTCCAGTGAGATGTTCAGTATATGAGAGTAAGGTTACACTTCCAGTCAGATGTTCAGTATATGAGAGTAAGGTTACACTTCCAGTCAGATGTTCCGTATATGAGAGTAAGGTTACACTTCCAGTCAGGTGTTCAGTATATGAGAGTAAAGTTACACTTCCAGTGAGATGTTCAGTATATGAGAGTAAAGTTACACTTCCAATGAGATGTTCAGTATATGAGAGTAAGGTTACACTTCCAGTCAGATGTTCAGTATATGAGAGTAAAGTTACACTTCCAGTCAGATGTTCAGTATATGAGAGTAAAGTTACACTTCCAGTGAGATGTTCAGTATATGAGAGTAAAGTTACACTTCCAATGAGATGTTCAGTATATGAGAGTAAGGTTACACTTCCAGTGAAATGTTCAGTATATGAGAGTAAAGTTACACTTCCAATGAGATGTTCAGTATATGAGAGTAAAGTTACACTTCCAGTGAGATGTTCAGTATATGAGAGTAAGGTTACACTTCCAGTGAAATGTTCAGTATATGAGAGTAAAGATACACTTCAGTGAGATGTTCAGTATATGAGAGTAAAGTTACACTTCCAGTCAGATGTTCAGTATATGAGAGTAAGGTTACACTTCCAGTGAGATGTTCAGTATATGAGAGTAAGGTTACACTTCCAGTGAGATATTCAGTATATGAGAGTAAGGTTACACTTCAAGTGAGATGTGCAGTATATGAGAGTAAGGTTACACTTCCAGTGAGATGTTCAGTATATGAGAGTAAAGTTACCCTTCCAGTTAGATGTTCAGTATATGAGAGTAAGGTTACACTTCTAGTCAGATGTTCAGTATATGAGAGTAAAGTTACACTTCCAGTGAGATGTTCAGTATCTGAGAGTAAAGTTACACTTCCAGTGAGATGTTCAGTATATGAGAGTAAAGTTACACTTCCAGTCAGATGTTCAGTATATGAGAGTAAAGTTACACTTCCAGTGAGATGTTCAGTATATGAGAGTAAGGTTACACTTCCAGTCAGATGTTCAGTATATGAGAGTAAAGTTACACTTCCAGTCAGATGTTCAGTATATGAGAGTAAGGTTACACTTCCAGTGAGATGTTCAGTATATGAGAGTAAGGTTACACACTCATGAACGTGACTATTTCTTGGGTGAGCCCAGTACCAGAGCACTGTGTATTGGATCTGCATTTATGGAAGCCTCCTTGGATGGTGGGGACTGCTCATTTTCTGTCCCTGCCTTCTCCTGAGGACTAACAAGTGTTACATGACTGCTTTGGACTGGCCTGATGAGGGGCAACATTTGTAAACTGGGAAACAAAGATGACCACACAACAATCAGACTGCAATGTCCTACGAAACTAGCTGGGGAGGCTAACTGGGTCAGCAAATGCTCACAGGGGTCAGATGTGTCAGTCAAAAGGTGCAATTATCATGTCTATGTTGTAAGCGGACACAACACAATTACATCTTCAGATGAGCACAGAAGAATTATTTATGCAAATTGTTTGTTAAGAATAATAATTAAATTCACCTTTTTGTTGTGCAAAATGATTCTAATACATATAGTTTTAAGGTGGCTATTTATCAAGAGTTAAATAATAAATAACTTTTTAATTAATACTTACGTTTTTCAGTGCAATTGCATTACATTGTGCATAATGTTCTGTAGTAGTGCATTACTTTCTATCTACTAGTGTACAGTCGAAGATCCCCATTCTGATTATAGGGGTTGACTTTTGCTTTTAAATATAGACAATTTCTGTTTGGTATTGTGACATATATAACACAAATGCATGAATTAAAATAATTAATTACATTTTGATTTATGTAAAAAATGTTTTTCAGTTTGACTAATAGAAATCAACTATTATTATGTTTTTTAAACCAGTGTAATATAATGGGTGATATAACACATGATTAAATTAATATATTACATTCTGTTTAAGAATTGAGGTTGAATTATGTATAATGTTTAAAGCAGAGCATTAAATTATGGATTACTGTTAGTAGTAAATTAACACATTAGATCGCGATAAAGCACTGTATATGTTCATATATTACAACTGTCTCTAAACTGATACAGAAGAAACTTGTGGAAATACCTCAGGCTGTGTAATTTCAAACCTACTCGGAGAGACTTTGTTGTTGGGGTTGACAGTTGTACTTGGAGGGACTTTGTTGTTAGGGTTGACAGTTGTACTTGGAGGGACTTTGTTGTTGGGGTTGACAGTTGTACTTGGAGGGACTTTGTTGTTGGGGTTGACAGTTGTACTTGGAGGGACTTAGTTGTTGGGGTTGACAGTTGTACTTGGAGGGACTTTGTTGTTAGGGTTGACAGTTGTACTTGGAGGGACTTTGTTGTTGGGGTTGACAGCTGTACATCAATTCTGTTATTGTTATTGTTATTCTGACCTTGTGAAAATATAATGAGCATCTTGTTGTTTGCAGGAGACAGCAAGATACAGAGTATTGGTGAGTGGCTGGCAGATATAGGACTCCCCCAGTATGAAAACACTCTTGTAGCAAACGGGTTCGACGACACTGATTTTCTGGTGATTTGTGATTTTATTGTTTCGTGACTTCTTATTTATATGTTGAAGAGGTTATATCTGAATCATCATCATCATTATAGTCCCATAATGCCATGTATTGTTGGGTCATTAGTTTGTATTCTCCTCTTCTTCTTCTTCTTCTTCTTCTCCTTCTTCTTCTTCTTATTCTTCTTCTTCTTCTTCTTCTGCTTCTTTTTCTTCTTCTTCTTCTTCTTCTTCTTCTTCTTCTTCTTCTTCTTCTTCTTCCTCTTCTTCTTCTTCTTCTTCTTCTTCTTCCTTTTCTTCTTCTTTTTCTTCTTCTTCTTCTTCTTCTTCTCCTCCTTCCTCCTCCTCCTTCTTCTTCTCCTACCCCCCCCCCCCCCTCATCCTCCTCCTTCTCCTCTTCCTCCTTCTCCTCTTCCTCCTTCTTCTTCTTTTTATTCTTTTTTTCCTCATCCTCCTCCTGCCCTTCTCCTACTCTTCTCCTCCTCCCCCTCCCCTACTCCTCACCCTTCTTGTCTGTCCACTGAGGGTAGGCAAGATAGCATTGCGATATATTGTCTAGTTTTGTCTGTCCGCTGAGGATAGACAAGAGAAAATTTAGATATATATAGTCTAAAAATTTAGATATATGAAGTCTAGTCTTGTCTGTCTACTTTGGAGCCAGTAGAATTGTTCCCTGTCGGTTCATACCTTATGATGGAAATTTGTAAAAAGCTGCCATAAAATTGGCTTTGTAACACTGGAGTGACCATACTGGACATTGTCTGGAAAAGAAAGGTGATTAAAAAGATGACTGGCCGTCTGATCTCATGATGTTCTGCTCAGGAGATGTCAAGACTTAACACTGAGACCCCAGCAGTGTCAGGGGACCATGCTGACATTGTTAGCTTTCAGCATTCATCCATGAAGTTTATAAACATGTTTTATTTCCCAGGGTGGAAACATTCTAGAGGACCAGGATCTGGTAGCCATTGGAGTAGCAGACCCTTACCACAGGCAGATGATTCTAGAGGGAGCCTCTAGTCTGGCCAAGTTCAAACCCATAGGTTAGACCTCTGCTTGAATTCTTTTTTCATTTTAACTTCCTCGAAGTATCTCTTGTTATTTGTCTTGATTTATACAGTTACATTCTTCTTCTTCTTCAGCATTCTGAGCCCTTGCTGCAGATATCACCCACCTCCATTCATGACTCTGGTTAACCTTAACTTTCCAGTTGTTGACACCAAGTGTTTGCAGGTCTGTCTGGACATTATCTCTCATTCATCCTCTTGGTCTGCCTCGGGGTCTGTGACCATTCAGTTTCCATGTGTGTGCAGTTTTTATCTCTCAGACATCTGACATTCTCTCAATATGCCTCAGCCATTTGAGTCTATTAGCCCTCATGATGCCAGTGATCAGCGGTGATTTAAACAGATTATGAATTTCTCTGTTGCTTTTCACTCTCCTTTTTCTGCTGTTTGCAACTTTGATCGGTCCAAAGATTCATTGTAAGACTCTGTTTTCAGACATATGTAATTAAGCTTCAGCTCTTTAAGTTATGCTCCAAGTTTCAGAGCCATGCAAAACAGCTGGTCTTATCAACGTTTTATATATTTGGATCTTGGTGTTGTGAGATAGAGACTTTGAATTTAAGCAGATGTTGAAAGGCACAGTATACTTTATTTCCAGATTGATTCTATATTGTATTTCTTCTTGCAGCATGTTTGAGCGATTGAAGTTTGTACCCAAGTACCTATATATTTCTGTTCGTTTAATTGTCATATTTTTGACTTGTATGTGGACAAAGTTTATATCCTTTCTCTAGTTATTATCATATAATCTTTCTTATCTTGATCAATAGCTAGCCCCATTTTGTGAACTACTTCTTTTAAAATAGTCAGTGTTTTTATGGCCTCTAGCTCATTTTCTTCAATGATATCAATGCCCTCTGCATAACCAAGTATTCTTGTAGTTTCTCCTGTAGTACACTCTTGTTTCAATTTCCTTATAATTTGCTCTAGAGTCGAGCTGAAAAGAAATGGGCACAAACCATTACCTGGCTTTAAACCAGATGTTATCTAAGAAAGGTCTGACTTTCTGCCTTTATATGTTACTATATTTGTTACTATATTATAAACGTCTTCCATACAAAGTTTGGTCATGGTAATTAACTTCTTTGATATTCCAAATTCCTTCATAGCATTCCATAAACTGTTTCTATGTGCACTATCAAGTGTCTTTTTAAAATCCACAAAAAACCATAATATATGTCTTTTCTATATTCCCTGTTTGCTTTGCGATTTGCCATAAAATGAATATCTGATCTTTGTTGATCTTTTCTGTTGAAAACCTGTTTGTAAATCACCCAATATGTCTTTGACATTTGGGTTTTGCCTATTTGTCTTATAGCTTATAGATAAAAGTGATACTCCTCTATAATTTCCATATTTATTCTTGTCTCTTTTCTTAAAAATGGGTATTAATAACAACTCTTCCAGTCAGTGGGTAATTTCTCTGTCTTCCAGACAAGTTTTATTCATTCATATATTTGTAGATGTAATGAGTGTCCAGCTTCTTTTATCAGTTCAGCAGCAATCCCATCGGCACCCGCGGCATACAGTTACATTAGATGTACATAATACTGACCCATATTTGATACATTATGACTTTGTCTAATTTACCCTCATATTACAGAGTATAAATTATGTGTATAATTAACTTACATTTTACATAATAGTTTGTTAGAAATCTGTATTAATTACCTACATGTTACAGTGTATAGTCTGTTGTGAGATCTGTATAATTTGCCTGCATATTGCAGTGTATAGTTTGTTGTGACATCTGTATAATTTGCCATTATATTGAAGAGTATGGTTTGTTATGGGAGCTCTGCTTTCATATATCCACTAAGAAATTGTGGATGCAATTCAGTCACCAAAATTTTAGCAGCACAGAGTCAAGATGCAAAATGTCATCTTTCAGGAAATGAACCCATAAAGAGATCTGATAATTACATCAGAGATAAGTAAATCTCATTTTCTTAGAAACCATCTGAGAATGGGAATGTTGGCAGCTACCACGGCAACAAGACAGTTATAAAAAAAGGGGAGGGAGGATAGAAAAAGAGAGAGAGAGTGGGAAGGGGGAGTTAGAATGGAAAATTTTAGAGGCAGTTTATCTAATGGCATCCCTTTTGGAAATCACAGACAATATGCAAAACTGGGGAATCTGGGTCAAAATAATGACCAATGCCACATGACATATAGACTAAACAAAAAAGAAGGACTGAATGACTGTGGAAGGACATCTTGACCAATGTCACATGATGTATAGACACACACACACACAAAAAGGACTTAATGACTGTGGAAGGAAATATTGACCAATGCCACATGATGTATAGACACACACACACACACACACACAAAAGGACTTAATGACTGTGGAAGGAAATATTGACCAATGCCACATGATGTATAGACACACACACACACACACACACACACACACACACACACACACACACAAAAGGACTTAATGACTGTGGAAGGAAATATTGACCAATGCCACATGATGTATAGACACACACACAAAAAAGGACTTAATGACTGTGGAAGGACATATTGACCAATGCCACATGATGTATAGACACACACACACACACACACACACAAAAAAGGACTTAATGACTGTGGAAGGACATATTGACCAATGCCACATGATGTATAGACACACACACACACAAAAAAAGGACTGAATGACTTTGGAAGGACATATTAACCAATGCCACATGATATTTAAGCTGTTAAAAAAGACTGAATGACTGTGGAGAGAAATATTGACCGATGCCACATGACATATAGACACACAGAAAAAAAGGACTGAATGACTGTGGAAGGAAACATTGACCAATGCCACATGACATCTAGAATTTAACGCAATGGATGCAGGCAAAGATATTCGCCAGGAGTACCAATTGAGGCCGACCCACACTAAAATGGCTACTAGGTGGCATCTTTGGAAGTCAATGCGGCAGGTCTGATGTTAACCACATCTCACATTAGTGCTGATTGGTTTATAAAAACGCAAGTCTACCTTCATATACCTGGTGTCTCATTGGCCTGTAAAAGTGCAATTTACATTTCTTAATGACATGACATGTCATGTGGTGGAAAGGATGACATCAGTAATGAGGATTTTATCAGGAAACATTAACTGTTTTTGATGGCTTGTGTTACAGATCCCTCGTGTCCACCTGACTCCGTGGAGGAGTGGCTGGGCTCACTTCGACTGGACTACTACTACGACACGTTCATGTCCCACAAATATGATACCATGGACAGGGTCATCAAACTGTGGGAGCTGGAGCTAGTGACCGTGAGTTATTGCTGTCTCTCACACTTTGCTCAACTGATTCACATGCTAACTGAGCCACTGACTCATACACGCACGCAGACACGCACACACACGCCCATGCACGCAGACTCTCTCTTTCCCTCCCTCTATCTCTCTTTCTCTCTCTCACTTTCTCTCTCTCTCTCTCTCTCTCTCTCTCTCTCTCTCTCTCTCTCTCTCTCTCTCTCTCTCTCTCTCTCTCTCTCTCTCTCTCTCTCTCTCTCTCTCTCTCTCTCTCTCTCTCTCTCTCTCTCTCTCTCTCTCTCTCTCTCTCTCTCTCTCTCTCTCTGAACGATCAACTTATCAGTAGTTCAAAACTGTCTTCATTGTTAAACATTATACGTGTAAAGTTTCCTAGATCTTCTGTGTTCATAAGTTCAATGATAACCCCGAGCTATGGAGTTCAACGTGGCAAGACCGACTTGGGCAATCTGACACTACGCAAGTTTTGCTCAGAACATGATGTTAGATTTATAAATAATACTCCTTTTTTTGCTTCCTCATCCGGTGCGCCCAAGAAAAGCATGTATAGAGACCAAATACACTGCTCAAAATTAGGAACTAGTATTTTGGTCAAAAATATAAAATACCCTGAACGAACATCTGTGGCCCACACTCGGAATGATTGTAATGATAAAACGTCCTCTAGTGCAGCTTTAAATTTCTCTTCAACCCAAGTACACATTCCGGTGCAGCACAAACCATGTCTTATTTCTCAGACTGAGACATATGATGAACTGTTTCCTTCCTTACCTGTTAAGCAGTCTCCACAGTGCAGATCTACAGAAGCACCCTTAAATAATAGTGCTATGCCCCAGATGTCAGTCTCCAATGTAGTTTCTGCTGGTGGTACTCACGTTAACCACCCCTCATTGTACACTAACGTACATCCTGCTTACCGCTGGAATCGTGATGTCGAGCATCTCATGCAGTTTAATCCTGCAGCTCTGCACCAGGCTTTCATGATGTCACTCCCAGTACCCCACCCTATCACATGCCAGTACAACCTAGTGAGTACATCTTGAAAAAAAGTCAGTGCCAAGAAATATAAATTCCCTTATACCAAATACAATGTCAGCCAGTCGTAATCAGTGGTTAAACAAAGGTGGCCTCCGAATAGGTCACCTAAACATTTATCATTTGTTAGGCAAACTACCTGAGCTATCAGTTAGGATTAGCAACCAGTTTCATCTTTTTGGAATTACCGAAAGTCGGCTAAACAATAAAATTACTAATAATGAAATTAAAATCAATGGGTTCAACGTTATTCGCAAAGACGCAGTGAGAAAATTAGAAACAGGAATAACTGTTTATATCTCAAACTGTATCAATTATTCCCATAGAAATGACCTAGAATCCTTAGAAGTAGAGTGTGTCTGGCTGGAAGTCAAGCCGTCAAACCAGCAATCGCTTTTCATTGGTTACCTGTATCGAAATCCGTGTGCAGGTAACAATTGGTATGACGACTTCACTTCTATGTTGGATAGAGTTTTTAGCTTAGGAAAAGAAATTATTTTTCTAGGAGATTTCAACATTGATGCAAAGAAACTAAACTAAACATGGCAAGATATCATCCTATCCTATAACTTTAAACAACTAATCAACCGGCCCACGAGAGTGACAGAAACCACCTCGACCATACTCGATCACATCTATGTGTCTTGTCCAACAAATATTATTGAATGTACTGTTCCTGCTAGTGCAGTCAGCGACCATTATCCCATATGCATTACCTGGTCAAAAGGTAAATTTAGGGCTCCTAAAAATAAGCATTTGACTATTAAATTTAGATGTTTCATAACCTTTAATCCGGATTTGTTTTTACGCGACTTGCAAAATGTACAGCTTGATCATGTTTATCAACTTCCTGAACCTGACAACGCTATAGCCTACTGGACTAAGACAGTCTACGGTGTTTTTGATAAACATGTACAAGTTAAGGAAGTTAGAGTAAAAAGCCAAACTAAATCACTGAGGGTAACTAGTGCAGTTCTAGAAATTAATAGAGAGCGGGATACGGCACATAAAAATAAAAGCTTTACTGCTTATCGCAAATTAAGAAATAAGGTGCAATATAAAATTCGTAAAGTGAAGAAAGATCACTTTAATAGATTAATTAAAGATCAAACAAACAGTGCCGGTATCTGGAAGGCTATTAATACGATAACCAATAAGAAACATTGTTCAGACCAGGCAAGACCTAATTTGCTAACATGTGAAACGTTCAGTTCCTTCTTCAAATCAGAAATTGAGTATTTAAAGTCCAAAATACCAGGTTCACAGTGTGACTTAAGCCTACTAGCATCATTCTGTGGGGAAAAAAAATGCACCACAACTATTTCTCCAGAGATCCCACTTCTGTCTGTTGCTGAATTGTATAATTATCTCATCAACTTCAAGCAAACAAACTCCTCTGGTTTAGATGGAATCAGTAATCAAATTCTTCGATGTGCTGCACTAGTCATTAGTGACACCCTAACATTCATATATAATCAGTGCCTTTCTAAGAACTACTTTCCATCAGCATTTAAAATTGCCAAAGTTTATCCTCTACTCAAACCTGGCTCAGCTGACAACAGTTCTCTTGGCAGTTATAGACCCATTTCTCTACTGTCCTCACTATCCAAATTATTAGAGAAACACAGACATAAAATAACGTTTCAGCAATTAAATAACAACAATCTGATAGTTGATAGCCAATCAGGGTTCAGGCCTATGCACTCTTGCCATACTGCGATGACAAAAATGACAGACAACTGGCACTTTAACATCAACAAAGGCATAATTTGCGGTGTAGTTTTTGTAGACTTTAAAAAAGCCTTCGATATGGTTAATCAGGATATTCTAATTATTAAATTAAAAATATTAAAAACTAACGATAATTTAGTCGAAATAATGCGGTCATTTTTATCTAATAGACAGCAAGTAGTATCCTTCAACAACCGCCTGTCAGAATCCACTCAGTTAAATATAGGCGTGCCACAGGGGTCGATTCTAGGTCCACTACTATTTGCCACGTATATTAATGACCTTCCATTACATCTTAGTATAACACGCAATTTATTTGCTGATAACTGTACAATATATACTAGTAATGAGAATCGTAATGAATTAGAAAGATCTTTACTGAAAGAAGTACACAATCTTTGTAAATAGAGCAACAGCAATCGCATGCAAATTAACATAAATAAAACGAAGTCTTTGCTTATAACAACCAGACAAAAGTTGCAAACATTAGTACTGCACAAGCCGACACTCGAGCTCTACATTGATAAATTACCTATTGTTAATGTAACGGAACACAAAACTTTAGGCCTTACAATTGACAACCTTTTAACCTGGAATTCTCATGTTTCTGTCATAACTAAGAAAATAGCACAAAAAGTTTATCAGCTTGCAAAAATTCAGCACTTTCTAGACGAAGATGCAAGAAAAGTATTTTACGCATCTTACATCCAAACACATGTCGACTATTGTTCCACAGTTTGGGATGGTTGCGCCAAATCCAATGTTAAAAGACTAAGTTCTCTTCAAAACCGTGCTTTACGCCTGGTTTCAGATAGTAAACATATTGAAAAAATAATCTCTATAATCATCTAAGACTATTGCCATTTAGCAAACGTTTAATTTGTGTGTGTGTGTGAGCACGAATGTAAATATGTGTGCTGTGTGTTTCCCTGTGTGTGTTTATATGTAAGTGTCTGTTTGTGTGTCTGTATTTTTGTCTAAGTGAGTGTGTGTGTCTCTGTGGGAGTGTCCGTGTGTGCATGTGTGTGTCTCCATGCATGACTGTATTTATGACTGTATATTTGTATGTGTGTATGCCTGTAATACGTATGTATGTATGTATGCCTGTATGTTTGTATCTATGTATGTATGTTTGTGTGTATGTATGTATGCCTGTGTGTATGTGTGTATGCCTGTATGCATGTTTGTATGTATGTGTGTATGTATGTATGTATGCCTGTATGTATGTAATGTATGCATGCATGTATGTGTGTGTGAGTGAGTGGGTGAGCGTGTGTATGTGTGTGTATGTATGCATGCGCGGGTTTTTGCATGCACTTTACAACTCGTGCTTTTGTGTTCTTTTATAATATTCATAATATGCATAACATCATATGATCATAACATGCTTTATTAGTAAAATACAACTGCTGTGCAAAAGATGGTTGACTGGAAGGGCCTAATGTAAGACGGGCCTGCGTGCCCAATTTGTGACCCTTTGAAAATAAAGTTTGTTTGTTCGTTCTCTCTCTCTTTCTCTCTCTCTCTCTCTATCTATCTATCTCTCACTCTCTCTGCCCGGCTCTCTAGTGTAGTTGGCTAAACCGGATTGCGCGGAGACCGGGTAACGAACTCCTTGTGGTCCGGGTTCAATCCCGGGGGTAGGCAGGAAAACCACATTTTCTCCCAGATTTACAGTATTTACAATGAAATCAAGGCCGAAAGGTTGCGATATCCATAATACCGAGCCTAAGGGTTAACAACTCATGGCTTCTGGATACTAAAACAAACAACTCTCTCTCTATCTCTCTCTCTCTCCTCTCTCTCTCTCTCTCTCTTTCTCTCTCTTTCTCTCTCTTTCTCTCTCTCTTTCTCTCTTTTTGTTTCTTCTCTCTGTCTCTTTCTCTCTCTGTCTCTTTCTCTCTCTCCCTCTTTCTTTCTTTCTTTCTCTCTCTCTCTCTCTCTTTCTCTCTCTCTCTCTCTCTCTCTCTCTCTCTCTCTCTCTCTCTCTCTCTCTCTCTCTCTCTCTCTCTCTCTCTCTCTCTCTCTCTCTCTCTCTCTTCCACATTCATTGACTCAGTCACAGACTACTTCACACTTGCTCATTCACTGACAACTCATTTTCTAGCTCATTAACTGACTGACATATTCTAGCTCATTCACTGACTGACTCAAATTCTAGCTCATTCACTGACTGACATATTCTAGCTCCTTAACTGCCTGACTCATATTCTAGCTCATTAACTGACTGACTCATATTCTAGCTCATTAACTGACTGACTCATATTCTAGCTCATTAACTGACTGACTCATATTCTAGCTCCTTAACTGACTGACTCATATTCTAGCTCCTTAACTGACTGACTCATATTCTAGCTCATTAACTGACTCATATTCTAGCTCATTAACTGACTCATATTCTAACTTATTTACTGACTCATATACTCCATCACACACATGTGCATTCACAACTGTTCACTGACTCACTCATAGACACCTCATTGATCATATGACTGACATCCATGTAGCCATTTGCTCCCGTTATCTCTCCTGTTTTCCTGACTTCAAAGTCAATTATGCTTGAGAGGAATTTAAATTCCTGCTCTTTGCTTTCTCCAGGTATTAGACATCACATCCATAGGGCACCGCAAGCGAATTCTGGCCTCACTTGGAGAGAGACCTCTTGAAACAAATGTGGTATGTTTAATATGTTGTCTGATAACTGCTGTTTGTTGCAACATTGCATCTACCTACATGACTTTTGATAGTCTCTCTGTTCCCCCCCCCCCCTTTTTTTTTAAATTAAAAAAAAAAAAATTCACACTTATAGTTCTGTGAAATGCTACCATAAGACACTAAAGGAGGAAAATAAATGTAGAATCTTGGTCAGCTTTTGTAAATATTGATGTAGTTAAAAACTGTGATCACAGAGCAGGCAGGCAAGCCTGTTAGCCACTGTTATATTGTGGTCCATTGTTCACTAAATAATTGTGAAAATAAAATTAAATGTTTTTCTTTCCCTGGCATGGTTTGCTTCAAGAGAAGTAATCAATAAATACAAACAAAGAAGAGAATAACTACTCTCCTTCCCTTTAGACACACACTACCATGTTTACACCCCCTCTCTTCTTTTTCCAATTCTCTCAGTTTATCTATCATTCTTGTAGGCAGAAAAGGAGGGGGGGGGGGGGGGGGGGGGGAGGTTAAGGATTCCATGGATGTACAGAAACATGATTGAGGAGACAGGCCTTCAGAGAACAAATAAGATGTAAAGTGACCAGAGAAATTTGATGTCATCAAGATTCATCTGGCATATCAGGAGAAATTAACTGGAGAACTTCACAACAACTGGCATATTTTATTTCAAAAGAGGAAGAGGAAAAGAGAAGAAAGAGATCAGAAATATGCATACCTAGATGACTTGGTCATGTTTGAAGTCCGAGCGAGACCTGATTAGAGGCAGCCATCTACACCTGTCAGTGTGGCACATGATAATGATGGTTGTGCCTGACAGGCCTGACTGGTCTCACTGGTACCAGCTCTATGTGGCTGATGTAGCTGCTTTTACTTCCTAGATAGATATCTAGTACTCATTTTAGGCTAGGTCAAACTGGCAGCCGAGGTTAGTTTTGAATTAAAATCTGCCTCAGTTTTCAAGCCCAACATCTTTGGGCCAACAGCCAAGTGTCTAGCCACTGTGCTACCTTGGCTCCCTCAAGAGTTGTATTTGAAACTCAACATTTACCTTGTCCTTTTTCGCATTTTATCAGTAATATTTACTTTCTACTATATCACATTTTATCAGTAACATTTATTTTATCCTTTATCACAGTTTATTAGTAACATTAACATTATTCTTTCAGACTCGAACCAGAGTGCCCAGTTTGGAAGGCTTGAGTAATCCCAGATCTCCATTTGAACATGTTGACTTGTACAGAGATTACACAGGTGTCAAATCCCGGGTGTCCGACCCAGGAAGTGATTCTGATGTGGGTCAAGGAACTCAGGAGTTTGATGTTTCCAACCAGACTTCTCCAGTTCAGGTGAGTCTTTGCTGGACAGAAAGGCACGGAACATAAACCCTGTAACCTGCCGGGCATGCCTTTAGAGACAGCCATATGCGGATCGTCATCACTATTACACGCCTTTCCAGAATTAAAGTTAGAATTGAGAGAAATTACTTAATCCCAGCAGGTTTTATCCCATTTGGCTAGATATTTTTCTGCACAACTGTTGGTTGCCTGTTTGGAGCATTGCACAAAGCACAAATTTTATATCCCTAACGATGATCTCATTAACAATAGTTGCACTCACAAACTGATGTTAAGCGAACCTGGGACCTTCACACCATGAGGCAGAATGGCTTGCCTCCTAGAGACCTCTAGATGTCTGTCCAGAGGGCATAGATGTTCATGCCCATTGCCTAATTTTGATCCTTGATGTTCAAGAAATTTGTTATAGATGCCAATTGTATGTGTTACCTTCTTAGATCATCAAGCATCATTTCCTCTTGGTGTGCCTCTCTTACCGCTGACCTTTCCAGTTATCACAGTGTTTTCCTTTGCCTACTACCTCATCTGATAAAAGACCTTAACCACATAACTCAACCAGCCATGAAAGAAAAGCAACAACAACAAAAATGAAATTGGTTGTGCAAGATGGAAGAAGGTTTGTCCCTTCAGACAATATTGATACGGAGTAAGCAAAACATCAGTGATGCCAATAAGTGATAGAGGTGAGTCATAAGGAAAAGGCTAAAAAAAATTACATTGTCACAAAATAAGTGGCCCTGATATGAGATGGTTGAAGACACATATTCCTTTGAAGACTAAAGAGCAACAGTCTTTATTGGTGAAGTTGTTCCTGGTGTGGGTTTTAGTGGCCCATTTTTGCTGAATAAAGAACAGACCTGCTGCCCTAATAACAAGCATGATATAAATGGTGATTAATTAGGGATTTGCTGAAATCACAAATGCTAAACCAAAAGATGCAAATATTACAACCTGGCTGTAAAAAACAACACAGCGCCCAACCGCCTTTTTTAAAGTAAAACACAGTAGTAACAGTTACATTTAATAACCTTGATTTTTATTTTCTGCCAGAAGATCAGGGGAGGTTATCATGTGTAATGGTTCTAAATAAAAGAGGGGAGGAGTTACCTCTTTTTCCATTTAAGGTTAGGAGAGGAAAAATTCATTTGTACTGTATGATAGTAGAGGGCATATTGGAAAAGACTGTACTGTTCATCTCCCTCACTTCTCCACTGAAGGGTAGAAAAGGAAAGACTAAATAAAAGGTGTCAGTGGCAAGATTTAAAAAAAAAATGTGATTGATAAACAAATCTAAGCTGTTTGTTTAATTGAAGCTGATGGGCAGGGTGATAAACAGATCTAAGCTGTTTGTTTAATTGAAGCTGATGGGCAGGGTGATAAACAGATCTAAGCTGTTTGTTTAATTGAACCTGATGGGCAGGGTGATAAACAGATCTAAGCTGTTTGTTTAATTGAAGCTGATGGGCAGGGTGATAAACAGATCTAAGCTGTTTGTTTAATTGAAGCTGATGGGCAGGGTGATAAACAGATCTAAGCTGTTTGTTTAACTGAAGCTGATGGGCAGGGTGATAAACAGATCTAAGCTGTTTGTTTAATTGAACCTGATGGGCAGGGTGATAAACAAATCTAAGCTGTTTGTTTAATTGAAGCTGATGGGCAGGGTGATAAACAGATCTAAGCTGTTTGTTTAATTGAATCTGATGGGCAGAGTGATAAACAGATCTAAGCTGTTTGTTTAACTGAAGCTGATGGGCAGGGTGATAAACAGATCTAAGCTGTTTGTTTAACTGAAGCTGATGGGCAGGGTGATAAACAGATCTAAGCTGTTTGTTTAACTGAAGCTGATGGGCAGGGTAATAAACAAATCTAAGCTGTTTGTTTAATTGAAGCTGATAGGCAGGGTGATAAACAGATCTAAGCTGTTTGTTTAATTGAAGCTGATGGGCAGGGTGATAAACAGATCTAAGCTCTTTGATTGAACCTGATGGGCAGGGTGATAAACATATCTAAGCTGTTTAATTGAACGTGATGGGTAGGGTGATAAACAGATCTAAGCTGTTTAATTGAACCTGATGGGCAGGGTGATAAACAGATCTAAGCTGTTTAATTGAACCTGATGGGCAGGGTGATAAACAGATCTAAGCTGTTTAATTGAACCTGATGGGCAGGGGTGATAAACAAATCTAAGCTGTTTAATTTAACCTGATGGGCAGGGTGATAAACAAATCTAATCTGTTTAATTGAATCTGATGGGCAGGGCGATAAACAAATCTAAGCTGTTTAATTGAACCTGATGGGCAGGGCATAAGAGAAATGTGTGTCTGTTTCAGGGACAAACCAACCATGACAGTTCCATTCATATCCGAGCACCTCATCTGGTACATTACACAGGAGCCATCAAACAGTGGAGGCATAAGCCTGAAGTACTCATCAAAGGCTGTTGTAACTACACTGCACATGTAAGTCTGTCTAGAGTCTGATTCTCTCTCTGTTCCACATGTAAGTCTGTCTAGAGTCTCTGTTCTGCATGTGAGTCTGTCTAGAGTATCTGTTCCACATGTAAGTCTGTCTAGAGTCTGATTCTATCTCGGTTCCACATGTAAGTCTGTCTAGAGTCTGATTTTATCTCTGTTCCACATGTAAGTCTGTCTAGAGTCTCTATTCCACATGTGAGTCTGTCTAGAGTCTCTGTTCCACATGTGTCTATCTAGAGTGTCTGTTCCACATGTGAGTCTGTCTAGAGTCTCTGTTACATGTAAGTCTGTCTAGAGTCTGATTCTATCTCGGTTCCACATGTAAGTCTGTCTAGAGTCTCTGTTCCACATGTGAATCTGTCTAGAGTCTCTGTTCCACATGTAAGTCTCTATAGAGTCTCTGTTCCACATGTAAGTCTGTCTAGAGTCTTCTTCTTCTTTCGTTCGCCTGAAATAAGTTGTATATATCAGCAGTTTTGTCTCTTGTATAAATTTCACTGTCGTTGTTAGTTCATTCAGTGGTCCATAGAGTTTACGTTCCACTGTTGTTCTTTCTGGCCAAAAGGTTTGCCTTAATGTGTCAAAATCGGTGCAGTCCTGGAGTACATGCTCTGCTGTCTGGGGTACATTTCCACAGGTGCACATGGCTGATACACCTATCTTGAATTTTGTGTACATGTGGTTACGTAATCGGTTGTGCCCTGTTCTGAGGCGGAGGATAATGACTTGTTCTGGTCTGTCCATAATAAAATAGTCGTCTTGTGCTGGGGCTGGTGGTTTCCTGATCGATTTAATGATTCTTTTCTTTTCTGGTACATCCGGCTGCTTTTTTGTCGCACCTTCCCCTGCCAGTTGATCAGCTTTCTCATTTCCAGGCACTCCACAATGACACGGTATCCACTGCATTACGACTCTTCGCTGAACGCTGAGTTGTGTCAGCAGTGTTTACAATTCTGGTAGTTTCCTAGACTGGAGTGCTTCAAGTACTGATTTAGCATATGTCATCATTACCACATACTGTGAGCCAAAGTTGGTATTTAGCAGTTTCTCTGTAGCTGTCTTGATAGTCTGAGTTTCTGCATCGTAGTTATGGCAGTACTTCCCGATTGGTACGCTGGACTTATCCCTAGTACCATCTGGGAATTCAATGTACACTCCAGCGCCACCATTTCTAACTGCACTCTCTGCGGACCCATCTGTATAGACTCTGACCCATTGTTCTTGTGACCTGTCTAGAGTCTGATTCTCTCTCTGTTTCACATGTAAGTCTGTCTAGAGTCTCTCTTCCACATGTGAGTCTGTCTAGCATCTGATTCTCTCTCTGTTCCACATGTAAGTCTGTCTAGAGTCTGATTCTCTCTCTGTTCCACATATAAGTCTGTCTAGAGTCTCTATTCCACATGTAAGTCTGTCTAGAGTCTTTCTTCCACATGTGAGTCTGTCTAGAGTCTGATTCTCTCTGTTCCACATGTAAGTCTGTCTAGAGTCTCTCTTCCACATGTGAGTCTGTCTAGCATCTGATTCTCTCTCTGTTCCACATGTAAGTCTGTCTAGAGTCTGATTCTCTCTCTGTTCCACATGTAAGTCTGTCTAGAGTCTCTATTCCACATGTAAGTCTGTCTAGAGTCTCTGTTCCACATGTGAGTCTGTCTAGAGTCTCTGTTCCACATGTGTCTGTCTAGCATCTGATTCTCTCTCTGTTCCACATGTCTGTCTGTCTAGAGTCTGATTCTCTCTCTGTTTGACATGTAAGTCTGTCTAGAGTCTTTATTCCACATGTAAGTCTGTCTAGAGTTTTTCTTCCACATGTGAGTCTTTCTAGAGTCTGATTCTCTCTCTGTTCCACATGTAAGTCTGTCCAGAGTCTGATTCTCTCTCTGTTCCACATGTAAGTCTGTCTAGAGTCTGATTCTCTCTCTGTTCCACATGTGAGTCTGTCTAGTCTCTGTTCCACATGTGAGTCTGTCTAGTCTGATTCTCTCTCTGTTCCACATGTAAGTCTGTCTAGAGTCGGATTCTCTCGCTGTTCCACATGTAAGTCTGTCTAGAGTCTCTATTCCACATGTAAGTCTGTCTAGAGTCTCTCTTCCACATGTGAGTCTGTCTAGAGTCTGATTCTCTCTCTGTTCCACATGTGAGTCTGTCTAGAGTCTCTGTTCCACATGTAAGTCTGTCTAGAGTCTCTCTTCCACATGTGAGTCTGTCTAGAGTCTGATTCTCTCTCTATTCCACATGTAAGTCTGTTTAGAGTCTCTCGTCCACATGTGAGTGTTTGATTGTTTCTTCTACATGGGAGTGTCTGATTGTATCTTCCACATGTGAGTGTTTGATCGTTTCTTCTACATGGGAGTGTCTGATTGTTTCTTCCACATGGGAGTGTCTAATTATTTCTTCCACATGGGAGTGTCTGATTGTTTCTTCCACATGGGAGTGTCTGATTATTTCTTCCACATGGGAGTGTCTGATTGTTTCTTCCACATGGGAGTTTGTCTGATTGTTTCTTCCACATGGGAGTGTCTGATTGTTTCTTCCACATGGGAGTGTCTGATTATTTCTTCCACATGGGAGTGTCTGATTGTTTCTTCCACATGGGAGTGTCGGATTATTTCTTCCACATGGGAGTGTCTGATTGTTTCTTCCACATGGGAGTTTGTCTGATTGTTTCTTCCACATGGGAGTGTCTGATTGTTTCTTCCACATGGGAGTGTCTGATTGTTTCTTCCACATGGGAGTTTGTCTGATTGTTTCTTCCACATGGGAGTGTCTGATTATTTCTTCCACATGGGAGTGTCTGATTGTTTCTTCCACATGGGAGTTTGTCTGATTGTTTCTTCCACATGGGAGTGTCTGATTATTTCTTCCACATGGGAGTTTGTCTGATTGTTTCTTCCACATGGGAGTGTCTGATTGTTTCTTCCACATGTGAGTGTCTGATCGTTTCTTCCACATGTGTGTCTGATCGTTTCTTCCACATGTGAGTGTCTGATCGTTTCTTCTACACAGGAGTTTGTCTGATTGTTTCTTCCACATGTGAGTTTGTCTGATTGTCTCTACCCCATATATGTCATGAGTCTTTTCTAATGGTCTTTTCCAAGTGAATGTTCAAGGTGTGACAATTAAGTAATGAGACTAATTCCATAAAAATTAAAATAATCAACAGTTGAAGATGTAACCTGTATTTTATTCAAAGTAAGCCCCTTGTGCATTGATACAGCAAGTGGCACTATCTAACAAACACTGGAACGACCTCTGTTGTTCTTCTGTTGTGTTGACGTTTAAAGTCGATATTACGGCCTTTTGGATGTCATCAAAATTGTTTTAAAAAAGCGTACTTTCAATCAAAACTTTAATTTTAGGAATAGAAAATACACAGGGAGAGAAATCTGAGAAATAGGATGGAAGGCTGAGAACACACACTTGTTTTTATGGGCCAAAAATTCTTGTTTTGATGATGTCTCTTGGTTACTCGTATCGCTGTTTTTGGTCATCAAAGAACGAATGTGGTACAAACTGGCAAACAACTTTTTTCTTGCCAAAATCTTGCACCAAAATTTTATAAATGGTCTCTCTATTATCACCAGATTTATCTGCCATCATCTTAACAGTAAAACAATGATCTTCTTGTATCCGTTTTCTGACTTTTGCAATGAGTTCATCATTACAGACAGAAATTTGGCGTCCAGATCTAGGTTCATTAGTAATCATTTCTACACCATTTTTTAATTGTGAATACCACCTGAAAATGTGTGCACGTGATAAACAGTTATCCCCATAAACTTGTTGAATCAATTGAACTGTTTCAATGGCACTTTTTTGAGTTTTAAAAAGAATTAAATGTTAGCTTTTTGCTCAGTGCTGATTACGTAACAATGCATCTCTGACTAGGTCAACAAAATGGTGGCTTGTTGTTGTCTGCTTATCGAGCGGTAATGAAAAGTTGCCAGATCATAGATGAATGTTGTCTCTTTACATTCCATGCTTTGCTTTATATATGGCATTTTTGTCTTGGCCATAATAAAATCCGTCACATTACTTAATTGTTGGACCTTGTATGTGATTTGTCTGTCTAATTGTCTCTTCGACACGTAAGTCTGAGATAGTCTGTCTCTTTGTCTCTTCCTCCTATAAGTCTGGGATGAGTCTGTCTCATTGTCTCTTCCACATGAAGGTCTGGGATAAGTCTGTCTCATTGTATCTTCCACAAGTAAGTCTAGGATGAGTCTGTCTCTCTGACTCTTCCATATGTAAGTCTGGGATGAGTCTGTCTATTTTCTCTTCCACATGCAAGTCTGAGATGGTCTTTCTCATTGCTCTTCCACTTTTAAGTCTAGGATAAGTCTGTCTCTGTGTCTCTTCCACATGTTAGTCTAGGATGAGTCTGTTTCATTATAAATCTGTGAATAGAATGCAGTACATAGAATGACTTTGAAGATCGTTCTTTTTCATACTGTTCTGTGGCCAGACTGCAAATTTTGTTTAATTAGATGATTATTGTTGTTGTTGTGACAGTTTACCTATGTTTTTATACAAACCAAATAATCATTTGACTGTTCTCTTATCTGTACATATTCAGGAAGCTAATTGTCTTGTGAAAGTATCATGTGCCAACATACATGAGTTTTATTTGTTCTATCTGGTCAGTATTTGGGTTCAACACTGGTCAGAGAGCTCAAGGGAGCTATGTCCACTCAGGAAGGCATTGCAAAGTTGAAGGTAAGTGGTCAGAAGTCTCACAATAAAGCAGTCTGTGGTGTCTAGAGTCAGGGCAAATGAGTCGGTGTTTTGTCCTTTATTGAAAGCACTCTATTTGATATTGTCTCTAGGAGAGTTGACAGTAAGTAGTATTGAACATTCTGTTAGAAGAACTGTCAGTTGACATTTGTAGTTTGGAGAAATGTTGGGTGATATTCCTTGTTATCTCAGTATACTGTGAAATATCCCATATAGTTTATGTAGACTTATAAGTGCTGTTTTTCAGTATGTCTGTAGAATTGTGAATATTTTTCTTGTCTCTGTTTCTCATGTAGAATTGTGAATATTTTTCTTGTCTCTGTTTCCAAAAAAAAAAGAAAATGTTTCTCTGATCAGTTATATTGACAACCCTGTGATTTATTTTCACACTGTTCTATTCTTGAATGATTAAGTTTCCAGTTTTACTGACCCCATCCCAAGTTCAGCGATGGTGTGCTCTCAGTCCACAATACCAGGTACCACACAGGGTTGTCTGGAGAAAGCTATACTTTGACCAATCTACAGAGAGACTGAGCCAGATGGGATAAAACTGGTGTGTTATGTCAGCGTCTGACCTTTAACCACCTGAACCACCTCTACAAGAACTGAAGTGGCTACAGACCATGCCTGTCTAAAGAGGAATTAAAGGTCTGATTTTCTGGAACTTAGGGAGAGCAATGGAGACATGATATTGTCTGTAAATGAGATGTCTGAGAAGAAGCAAATCAAATGGCTCACCCACTTTCAGAAAATACCTTGTGATGCTGTACCATACAAGCCATTCATCAAAAGAGGAGATGGACATAGAACACAGGGTAGACCAAGAACAAGATAGAAAGACAACATGAAACTACAACAGCATGTAGTGAGTATGGTTGACGTGGCTATACAAACAAGAAGCAGAACCTTAGATCTCACCCACCACCCAAAGCGATAAAAGAGGAAGTGAAGAAGGATTGTCACCTCTTGTATGTGGAAACTTCAAGTGGTGGTGACCTGTGACCCCGGCTGATTAGATCAAGAATCCAGCCAGGTACTAGCAGGAGGGAAGAAGAAGAAGAAGAGGGTTGTGAAAAGGGTTAGAAATGAGAGGCCTAAAGCTCAGTCATTTCTGTGCTCTCTTTCCACCATTAAAGTGGATATTTTTACAAAAAATGTTCTAATAATGTCAAACATTCGCCCGATCTCTTGGTTAGTGAGATCAGATAATTGCTCTTTTCAAATAATGGTGGAAAACTGTAAGTCCTGTTATCTTTCATTAAATACCCCATGGGAGTTGGAGATAGTCAAGTGCAGGCCATAGAACCACAACCCTGGCAAGATTTGTCAGGAAAGAAAATGTACCCACAGGTAGACAGAGCCAGTTACTTTTTGTGAAAGTCTGTAGAGGCCATAAAGTTGACATAGTCACACTCACTTCTGTAGGGCAGTTGTGGGTGTGATAAAACATCTCTTGAAAGTGGGATGAAGTAGTCACAGGAATATATTAGAGGTCAAAGTAAGTTTGGACATAACCAGCTGGCCACAGGGTCTCGTCTGTGTCATTGACTGAATTAGAGCAAATTTGGGTTGTTGTTGAGTGTTGTGATTTGGAAATGAGCTGAAACATTCTAAGACACTGACATCAGTGCACATTTGGGTTGTTGTTGAATGTTGTGATTTGGATATGAGCTGAAACATTCTAAGACACTGACATCAGTGCACATTTGGGTTGTTGTGATTTGGATATGAGCTGAAACATTCTAAGACGTGCATATTTGGGTTGTTGTGATTTGGATATGAGCTGAAACATTCTAAGACACTCTGACATCAGTGCAAATTTGGGTTGTTGTGATTTGGATATGAGCTGAAACATTCTAAGACACTGACATCAGTGCAAATTTGGGTTGTTGTGAGTGTTGCGATTTGGATATGAGCTGAAACATTCTAAGACATTCTGACATCAGTGCATGGTGGTTGCATTGTGGACAGCAGTGTCATAGTTGATTCTGAATGTGTGTGTTTACTTCATCCTAAATTTGAAGCCGAAGCAGCATTGTGTTGGTCATCCAACATCCTCTGTCTCATATACTGCTAATTATACCTGATGTAATTGTGCCTCTGTAACATTAGCCCAAACAGATATTTGACTTACATATGCCCAACAAATTGTGTTGCTAACCAGTGTGTGCGTGTACGCGTGTCAGTGTGCGTGTACGCGTGTCAGAGTGTGTGCACGTGTGCCTGATTGTACCTGAAACAAAAGTTTGTCCTGACCTGAAACAAAAGTTTGTCTTGTGAAAATAAGGGAGATAATGATTTTGTTTAAAGTGTTACTAATAAATGTTTGAGTATTTTCCCTTTGTATTCTGAACAAATCAGTAACAAATCTTGCTATATCTCTCGCTGTTCTTCATTTCTTTGCCTGCAACAAAAGCATCGTCTCAGGAAGAAACTGCAGGTTGGATGTCACTGTTGGATGTTAGTTGTAGCTTTTATTGTCTTTATAACACTTGATGTTTATGTCACTGTTAGTTTCATTGTTGTAGCAGATAGTCATGTTTTGGATTAGCTTGCTTTTGCCTGAGAAGCCCTACTTGGAAGTGTGGGTTCTGCTTGTTGTTGTTTTTTAACCCTTCCTTGTGGCATTTGTGAAAATATGTTGGTATTATTAAAGGTAAAGTTGGATTCATGGGAGGTACTTCTGTTTGGGTTTAAAGTGTTGGAATGTCACATATTTAGTCAGCACATACTGGGGCGAGGTTTCACTTGTGGGTTCTGGGGAACAGGCCCACTGTCATCTACAAGCATGTCATAGGATGTGACTGGTTATGACTGTTTCTTTCAGAGTCAAGAGTGCATCAGAGGCAAGGAACCAGCAGTCTGTATATAAATATGCTAGATCTGTAAAACGGATATGCACACAAAACTCCAGTTCTAGATCAAGACAAAAGTCCATAAGAGGATGAACAACTAGAACTTTCTGCCAAAGTTTACAGCCAGTGAATGCTGAGGAGAAGAAGAAGAAGTGAGGTGACTGGTTTATCGTCTCACAGCCATCTCCTCTCAAGTAATCCCTAGAGTCTTATCTGGTTCCCATGTATGAGGCTGGGTCGACTCCAGGGTTGTACTGGTGTGAAAAGACCCACTTACTACAGAGGGGGTTTGAACCCAGCAAGTAGAGTCAAGCTGCCAGAGCTTGAGATACTTTGGTTGTATTGTGGGTACCCCATTTTCTTTGGAGCCAGATAAAGATAATGGTAAATCTATATATGTATGATATTAGCAATATTTTTATAGACCAGCTGGTGCTTGGTGGGCGAATTAATCAACATTATACCCGTCACTTTTATTTCCTAGGATATTATGCTCACCTACGACCAAAAGGTCATGGGTTCAAAACCCCATCAAGTCTCATTATTTTCAAAAGAGCCCTTGGCTCCTAGGCTGACCCGTCCTAAAATGAGTACCAGGTGAAGGCGGCTGTGACCCACAAAGTCTTGGATGTTCTATAGAAGATCAGTCTAGAACTTTGTACCCAATACACCCAAGGAATGGAATAGGATCCCTTACATTTATAGGCTTAGATATTCTGGACCAAGTGAAAAGTCAGGCAATCATGCGGCCTAACATGATACGATAAGTATTATCAGCCTGACCTGTCATGACACCTGATGTGGTGTATGGTATGCATCTTCAGACTAGTGTGTGGAAACTGCCAACATCCCAGCTGATGAGACTGCATGACTGCCAACATCCCAGCTGATGAGACTAGCATGACTGCCAACATCCCAGCTGATGAGACTAGCATGACTGCTAACATCCCAGCTGATGAGACTAGCATGACTGCCAACATCCCAGCTGATGAGACTAGCATGACTGCAGAGTTTTATAAAAAAACATACGCATTAAGGCTACTCACGATCTTCAGATTAGACTAAGATCAGCAGACTAGATTGTGATGATAGCTTTACTCCAAGGATAACAGTGAACAGACTTCAATTATTGTATTTCAGAATTTGTGTTTATTTACAAGAAAGTTTGGATTATTTTTATCATTTTGCTTTTGTGCTGTTTTTTTTTCTATAGTATCTAGCAGTTAATGTCATCCTGTACTGTTGTTGTTTTCATGTCTTGCTGTATTGCTGTTGTGACATTTTTTAAATTGTTTAGCTGTTGGTGACCATTTTGCTACAGTGTTTAGCTGTATATTGACCATTTTGCTACAGTGTTTAGCTGTATATTGACCATTTTGCTACAGTGTTTAGCTGTTGGTGACCGTTTTGCTACGGTATTTAGCTGTATATTGACCATTTTGCTACAGCGTTTAGCTGTATATTGACCAATTTGCTACAGTGTTTAGCCGTTACAGTAACAGCTGTAGGAGAAGGACAGGGGTGTGTCTTATCACCGTTCCTGTTTTTCGTCTCTATCAACAGTTTAGCAGAGATGCTAAGCCCAGAAATGAAAATATTAGTAGCATCAATGAACTACTCAACACTAATGACAAGACCTTTATAGTTGATCAAAGTCAAGAATCCTTGTCCACAGCTTTACTTCTCAGGACTTTTCCAGTACCAATTTAAGAGTTGATTTTCTTGGGAGCCAAGGTGGTTAAAAAAAAGAAAAGTCTAGCTCGGTATGGATATGAACCCCCACCTTCATATCCACGGGTCCGGGAAGGCTAACCCGGTCAACAAATGCCAGCAGAAGCCGGATGTGTTGGCCGAAAGGTGCAAATATCGCAGCCATGCTGCAAACAGACACCGCAATTACATCTTCGGATGAACACAGAAGAAGAAGAAGAAGAAGATATCCACGAGTGAGCAGCTAGCATAACCAACACTGAAAAGACAGATGTCATGTCAACACTGAAAAGACAGATGTAATGTCAACAGGAAGAAAGAGGCAGAACTACAGGCATCTCAGTGTCAGTATCTGGATCTAGATCCAGTGCTATACGTGTGTAGACACAGAGCTAAGTGTGTGTAGACCAGAGCTAT